AACGCTGAGACTCGTAGGCCGGTGCCCGGGTGTAGCGTTTGTCCGTCGGGCTGCCAGCGGTGCCCGGGCGTTGTGTCCGGCGTCGGAGCGAAGGTTTTAAGTGGCTTAGTATCAGGCGCTGACTAAAACCAATGGGAAAGGCGACTTTTCAAGGCGCACCAAAAGTATTTGGTTTTGGTTCTCCTTTAAAATGCAATTTCTTTTTTTCTTTTTTTTTTTTTTAAATTATTATTTCTTCAGGGTGATTGGTGGCTGTAAAAAAAGCTGGCATTGTAAGCTCGGTAGTTATTCTTGATCAGTGTTTTGACATAAAATATCACTTCAATTTAAAAATAAAATGACATTTTGAATTAAAAAAATAATTTCCATGCTTCTGAAGGGGAAATTGAAAACGTTATTCATAGTTGATGTTTTACTGCTGGAGAGGGAAAAGTAGGTTTCAGGTTTCCCCATCGTTTCCAAACAGGGAAAACATTTGGGCCCAAAAGTACATCTTTCCAGGGCTAAATCTTGCCTACACTTAGAAAATGTGAATCTGCATTACTGCAGAATGGATTACGGCATCTTTTCTAGGTTGTTGCTAGTAGCCTGAAGGTTTCTTAGTAATTCAAGCTCTTCAAACCTAACTCTTTGCTACTTGAGTTGTTACAGTTATGTGCTAGTGTCTTAAACGCCTGTATGTCGGCTGAATCTGTTCAACTTCTCTGCATGAATGGGCGTCTGCTGATCCTAGAGCTAGTATCTAGACATGTGAATACGGGCCTGGATTTCTAACGTGTGTAAGCCAAGTTTGAAGGGGAAAATAAGGGAGCTTGCTTTGGAAACTTACTGGCTGATAATGTAGCTTACTCCTCAAAAATAGTATTTTCATTCTAGCAAAATTAGCCAGGCTTACCAGAAAAAGCCCCCCGTGATTTGCTTTTCGTGGTCTGTAAACCATAGCTGTTCTTTCTTCAGACACACAACTGTATTGCAGAATGCTTGAATATCATAGTTGCAGCTGTTTTTGCTAACAGGTGCACAAAAACAATTGGGAGTCCATGCAAAGCTCTGCTTTAGTTAGCAGACGGTTCAGTCTTTCAGTCATTTTTCACCTCTTTGGAGGTTTGCCAGTCCTTTGCCCAGCTGAGAGCCACAGGGCACCTCGCCAGGGCTCGGAGCACCACACCCCAACATTCATAAAATGGTGCATAAGGGGGCCTTTTTCCATTGTGGTATGTAGGTCAGCTTAAGCTGTGGATGCTGCAGCTTTGATATTGACCATTAATTTTATTTACAACTGAGTGATATGTGATGGGAAGGGAACCTGGGGGAAGAGGAGTGCTCTTGTTGCAATTGCAAAAGGTGGGAGAGGTCTTTCCCCTTTTTCTTGTCTTTTGGGTTTGCTTGTGAGATGTGCTTTTCCCATGGGACTGTGGCACTTGAATTACTTTCTTCCATTGCATAGTTACTGTGTAATACCTCTAGGAAGGGGTTAAAAACAAATGGTGACACAAGCAAATGTTTAAAAAAAAAAAAAAAAAGAGGTGTGGCACATAATGATTATTTAGCAATGGCTACTGTGTAACATTTAACTAGGAAACCCGAGCTGACACTAACAATCTGGCAGCGCAGTCTGCTCGCCATTTAGTAGTTGAGTAATCTGTGAACTACTGTAAGAATTTCATTTGTGGTTCAGTATGTTCTAATGGAAATATAGATGACAATAGCCTCTTGGTCTTTAGTGTTTGTAATGCGAACACCTATCATAGTGTAACTCCTAATGTTCAGAATTAATGAGTCAGTCCCTTCCAGACTCAGGAGAGTATCTGAAAAAACACCGGATTTTTGAAAAGTAAAATAGGGAAGACTTTTTACTTGCCTCCTTATTTCTGAGCCTGCAGGTTACCCTTGAAACATGCCTTCAATGTTTGCTCCCTGAAAACAAGGACTGCAAACTACCTGGGGGTGGGAAAAGGAAACTGAGTTCGTACATTGACTTGATCAGACTGACTCTGCAGTTGTCTAAAGCACCTTTGTATTGAAGCAGAGTACTGAGAAATGTGTTATGTTCTATGTTCTGCCTCATCCTTTCTGACAGTTTTGCTTCTTTTAGACTGTTTGCTCATGTTGGTCTACAAGGATAAATCTGAACGAGCAAAAGGGCATAAGGAGAGGAGCAGCATGACCTTAGAAGACATCTGTGGCTTGGATCCTGGGCTCTCCTATGAGGGCTTGAATCACACGCTTGCAATCATCTGTCTCTCTCAAGTTGTGATGCTGGGATTTGAGAACAAGGAAACAATGTATGCGTGGGATGTGCGAATCCGCTACAGTTTGGGGGAAGGTAACCTTTGTCTTCTCACACTCTTTTTTTTCTTTTTTTTTTTTTTTTTTCCTCCTTTTCCCTCCGGGTGGGGAAAAGCAAAGAAAAGCATAGCTAAAATGCTAATAGCAAAGTACAGTTAAGGAAAAGACTGTCGCTCATTTGATGGTGAACAGACTGGTCTTCCTCTTACATCTTAAAGCAGGTGTCCCTTATGCGAGGTTTTGATTACAGTACTGCCCAGTACTGATGGCTATGAGAGCTCTTAACTTAGTATTTAATTTTGGCACTGAAAGTGTGTAGCTTTGAAGCAAAGTGACCAGACTTCTACTTCTGGTCCTGCAATTTACTTGGGGATTTTGACAACGGGATTCAGAGGGAGCCTGAATTAAGAGAAGCAGAGTCCTGAGTAGAACTTGGCTAGTTCAATCCCGGTTTTCTGAGCTGCCTACTAGGTGTTGCACTGATAATGCTTATTGCTGCTAGTGTCCCCTTTCAGGAAGAGATATCATGCAATAAGGAGTGTCATCAGGCACAGACAAGAGTCTTTCCAGCTAACTTCACTCTTATACATCCTTTTATTTTATTTTCTTGGTTAGCAGCTCTAAAATGTACAGTGGTGAACAAGGAGTGATAATATTGGTAATCCATAGTATCTGTCTTATGTTTGTTTAGTCATAACTAGGGAAGGAGGGTAGGTGTGTGGGAGACACACATTAGCCATCTTAATCATTTGTTACATATGCTTTGCCATCTGTTGCATTTGTGGACTTGTTCCTTTGCAGTACATACATAAAAAGATGGCCTGGGAATTTTACAGTAATAAAATGTAGAAGTATCAGGAGAGAGATGTATGGATATACCACTTGGGGCTATCAAGCTATGAAGCCTTGCATAAGGGGAAAGGTTAGAGGGGGTTTCTGAACAACACAGGCATGAGTAGCTGGTACACTTTGATGATGTAGCTGTATTGTGTTCCAGTTCTATTTCTTTACTAGATTTGGGATCTATGAACAGCACAGACTTGTCCTAAAACCTGAAGGAGAATTTGAATTTGACAGGGTAGGTCTGGTTTTCATGATCTTGCACTGGTGCAGTGCTGGGAGGGAGAGAGTATTTAATCTCAATCTGGGTGTGAGGGTTGTGGTTGTGAAAGGTTGTGAAGAGTTTTTTAATGGAAAGCTGTGAGTGAGGTAGGAATAGAGCCTATTGGATGAAGATGTATGTAGCCATGGAGTAAAGATGGAGCGGGAGAGAGTGTGTGTGTGGAGGTGAAGAAATAAAGAAGAAAGAGAACAAGCATAATTGGTTGAACTGGCAATAATTTGTAGAACGTTAATTGCAAAAAAAGCTCAGGGGAAGGAGGATAGACCAGAGTATAGAAAATGTGTTCCAGATTTTATCTTTCAGTGCAGGTTCAGTTAGGAGAAAGAAGCCAAGTTAAAGTGAATCTAGTTTGACTAGCCAGAAATAGAAAAGAGTGGAGGCTTATGTGAAGAGAGGATGGAGACTGGTGTGTTTTCTTAAAGCGTAGTAAGGATGCCTTTGTGTGCCTTGGAAGTAAGGTGGCTGGATGATAAAAATAGACTAAGGACAGATGACCTCAGAGTCTGGGAAGGAGGGGGGAGGAAAACAAGTGAAAAGAGTAGAAGCTGTTCTTGAATGAGGACCACAGAATGGAGGTGTTTGCACTGGAGTTCCCAGTGTTTTCTCTCTGTTTTTAGCAGATGAGGTGCATGTGACTCCTGGAATAAAAGAACCAGGATTAGAGAAAACAGTGGAATTAAGTGAATTGAGGTATAAGTCTGGTGTGGGAAGAGCTCATTCTGAGGAAGTTAGCATACTGCATGTCAGTGAATAGCTGTGAAAAGGAAAAGGTTAGCTAAAGGAAATGGGGAATTTAAATAGTACCAGAATAGTACCATTTTGTATCAGAAATAGTGTGGCCAGCAGGAGCAGGGAAGTGATTGTCCCCCTGTACTC